ATTATAAGAATCAGAATTAGACTATAGTGTGTACCTCTTCTGAGTCGATCGTGAGGGGGCACCGGATGGACGCCGAGCAATTGACTATCCTCCTGAGTCGTAGCCTGAAGATTATGAAAAGGGGTTTCATTGTAGTTTTGGATGACGGGGGAAGGGCGATGGAGTTCGTTTAAGCTCTGCGAAGCCGGCTTAAGCTGGCTGGGGATATTGAGGGCGACATGATGGGAGGGGGGGATGTCACGGTCGATTGGCGAGTCGGATTTCCCCTGAAGTTGGTGTTGCTGGTGTAGTTCGCTCGAGGACGGGTTTGGGGTGGATGTGATGATCTGCGGGGGCGCTGGCGAGGCCCGGCCTGGTGTCATTCCGGAGGACGAAGAGCCCTTCAACTTGGCCAGTGATAGCCGTCGGTTGCTTGATGGCTTGAGTAGCCCCATCTCGCCCGGAAAGTGTTTCTTTGAAAAAAAAAAAACCTGTTGGGTGTGCGCAGGAAGCCGGAGAAAGCTGGAGCTTGTGCGAGCCGGATTGAAGGTTCACCAGTCGAAAAGGAATCGGGAGTTTCTTGGCTGTACTGGATTTGTTTGTTTGGTGTCGTCCAAAGAAACAGATGGCGGTTTCCGGACCTTCAGACTGGAGATCGGTGGCTCTTCGTTATATATTCAATTCTGCAGATACCTTTTTTTTTTCTTGTTCCTAATGTGGGGTGTGGTGATGGATAAAGTTAGGGCGTTTCTAGGCGAGAAATGTTTAATTTAGACTATCCTATTGTACATAGCTTTGCAATGGTTTCGATTTGGTGTATCTATGTGGATGGATGCACTAATGGTTGGTAAACGCTGGAGGAGGGATGGAACTTGGAAGGAGCAATTTCCTTCAACCGAGCTATGATGAGAGAGCAGTAGACCAAAGCATCCAGTGTGAGAACCCACATGTTTAAAATACAAAAACCTTCAATCATACAGCATCCTAAATTTATGCATTTATTTAGACACACAAAGGTCCAGATTGTCGGAAGATTGAGGAAGGGCGAACTGGGGCTATTAGGGGGCAACTTACAATTTAAATACCATGTACCAAGAACCTCTTCCTCAAAAGAAACTTCTCAAGAATAGACATAATTATACTGTCTTAAAACAAATGACCAATCACATGGTAGACAAAGAAACAAGAGTTCCAACTTCCAAGCATATAGTATAAACCCATCAAAATTTCCGACAAGTATACGTGGTGAAGAGTTATTTGCAGACAATTAGAGCGAGGGTGGGTGGGGGCAATTTGAGACTGATGAGTGACAACTTGAGTGTCAATTTGGGTGCATAATTGGCTGTCTCCAGGTTGAGATTGCAAGGTGGCATATCTTTGATAAACACTGCCTTTCTGTAGAAAATGGGACCAGATTCGAAGGCCTGCCATCCCCATCAGATCAGGGTCAAGTTAGCAACTTGTGAGCACAAGTTATAAAGCCGGCCAACAGCGTGGAGCGATGAGCAACGATTGCCCAACACTTGGTGGAGCTGTTGATGTATGTTGGGCCACATTATTGCTTCACTTTCTGCTCAAGTCTCGCATTCATTACCTTCCTTTTGTCGCCTACAACCATTTGACTATCACTGACGAAAGACATTAGACACTCACAAGATCGGAAAAACAACAACAAAACACAGAGACTTCAAATATCATATATATATATATGTATAGATACAATTGTCGTCCAGACGAGGACGGGCGGGGGATGTAGACGAAATGAAACAAGAACCCAAAATTGGATCGGTATCAAAGAAATTCTCGGGTCGTAGCGAATCAATCATACCCCGATTGAGAAAAAATAGATACATCTGTTGCCATCCTCGGAGATATGATAAAAGGGGAAAGGGGAGGACAGAGAGATCGGCTTTGATGACGATGACATTTTATGTGTTGTGGTGATCTCATCCCGATCAGCGCCTGAGCCTAGAGAGGTAGCAGATGACAATAACGATAAGAAAGCAGTTAGCCAATGAGATCAAACGCTCTCCCTGAAAAGAAAAAAAAAGAAAAAAAGGATCAAGGCCAAAGAAAAGACAAACCAGGACAATTGCTGGCGATGTGTTCTGGTTGTTGACAATTAAAACAAGTCCGGGTTTTTAAATAGCGAGGCTGAAGCGCAGGCGGGGGCTGGATCGCCATACAATCCCTAACATCGATGCCAGAGAAGAGAAGAGAAGAGAAGAGGAGGAAAAAAAAATCAGTTAAAGAGATAAGGTCATTACAAGGAAAGTGTTACATAGGGGAAGGGGGAACATTGTCTGACCTGGCATAATGATTCATTCCTTGGCATTTATAACATTGGACTGGTTGGCTCGGTGCCGGTCTCGGCTTATAGCCGCCAATGCGAGATTGGAATGCACCTTGACCGACCCCGTTGCCAGAGTGATTGCAGGAGCGACTGACATGTCCAACTGCAGGGAGTTGTTCAACATCAGCGGGTATTTTTTGGGCGAAGGAATATATCAGCTTGAAGACCGATCAAGCGCCTTCGGACCTTTCCCCCTATAAGTTGGGTGAGAGTGATGTGGAAGAAGAAGAAGGGTCTTACATTGACCACATGTGTAGCATTTCGTCCCCCCAAAACTGCCGACGCCAGCAATCCGGTTCCCAAGCGTGGTGGCGCTTGGACAGTCCGCCGCTAGATGACCGAACCCGCCACATGTGAAACATTGTCTGCCGTCTACGCCTCCCGTCCGTGGATTGGGACATGACGCCGATTCCTGAAGGGTTTTTTTAGGATTAAAAACCCGAAAAATTGAATCTCGGTCAATCGCTGGATCAGATCGGATTGGAAAGAAAGGACACGATCGAGGACGCGTGCCAAGATTTCCTTTAAATTGAAGATTAATGGACTTGGATAAAAAAACACCAACATGACCAGATTGCTTGCAATTGTAACACAGTCGACTTTCGGCAGGACATTGTTCGGCCAGATGACCAAGTGCGCCGCCTGAGTCGAAGATATTAACATAAACAGATACAGCAGCAAAACTCGTCAATAACAATCCGGCAAGTCTCTATCTCGGTTGTATAGACTGTTTCTTCCAGATCCAAGTTTTTGGGGTGATTGAGGAAATGCTTTGGAGAAGTTGAACTGACACTTGAAGCATGCTCGGTTAGATAGTCCTGACATTGTGTACTGTAGTCACTATCGTCACTATCTCGTTCCGAGGATCAAATTCCCCGACCGGTCTTCTTCAAAAACAACCAACGATGATCCCGATTCTTTTTATGTCTCGAGTTATTTCTTGGTGTTCTCGTTTTTTTTTTTGGTCCTATTTTCGCTCGTTTTCAATCTCCAGTCCTAATCCAAAAATCAAACAATCAATATTAGTCCACCTTTATCGCAGCGTGTGTAAACAATCTCGTACTCACGAAAATTGATTAGTTCTCAACAATCTGTGTTTGATCGAATCGCTCCGGCTTTCTATGATGTGTGGGTATGCTTGATCACTGTGTTGGGTGGTAGCTCTGGACCAAGAAGAGCCGTCGTGGTATGGGTCTCCCTTATCTGCATCACCCCGGGCACAATTATTTTCGGAACCACCGCACCCGAATCCTGACCCGGGTCACCCGGAGATCCCTCCCGAGTCACGACCCACGCCATCAGAGACGTACACCCCTTAGAGCATCTCTAACGGCCCTGCTGATGCGGGACCTGGAGCCAACTTCAGTGGGCCGCGAGCCTTTTTTGGCCTCTAGCGGCCATGCTGAGCAAGCTGCTGATGGCTCCGGGGGTGGACCCAAGCTGCCCTCGGCTGCTACTTTTGGCAGCTTTGGCATCCCATCCTCCAAGCTGCCATAGCTACCTTTTGGTCCATCCGTCGTCAAATTTCCACATTTTTTTATGCACTTCTTGATATCAACACAACATATACCCCATATCCTACACTGATACCATGCCTCCCAAAAGGGTAGTTGTCGATCCACTCCTCATGGAAATCAACCAAACCACCCCAACCGCAACTACTCGTACGATGAGAACAGCTCATCCGGATCCCCATGCAACTCCGACTGGCTTGGTGCCCGCAATAACTCCTTTGATGCCGAGTCATCCTGATTCCCATACAACTCCGGTTCCCCAACCAGCCCCTTCAACTGAAATAATCAAAGACACCAACGAAGCTCCTAAGAAGAAGGCTCCAAAGTGGACCATCAATGAAGATAAACAGCTCTGTGCTGCTTGGTTGAACACTAGCCGAGACAGTATTGTCGGGACCGGTCAGAAAGCTGGAACGTTTTGGGAATGGGTTCACCAGCTTTATACCGATCTGGTCGTCGATTACAACAAGGAAAACAAAAACTCAAAAACAATCAAACCTTTGCCAGTCCGACTCGTCAATGCGGTCGAATGTCGTTGGGGTCACATTATGAGAGTGTGCAACAAGTTCGGTGGATGCTATTTGCAAGTCGAACGCCAAATGAGGAGTGGGATGAGTCGAGATGATATTGTAAGCTTGATTTTTTTCATTTTATATTAGAATAACATTACTTAATTTTTTTTTTTTCCTCTCAGCTTTCCGAGGCGAAGGAACTGTACAAATCCGAAAACGAGTCGACATTCAATCTTGATCACTGCTGGGGCATTTTGAGGGAACACCCAAAATGGCAGGCAACCCAGCAAGAGATTGATCTCAGACAGAAAAAAACCAAGGAACCGCCAAGCAGCACACCTGCGACCGACGAGGCTTTGCCATCAAGTCCTCAAACAACCACTCAACCTGATGATGAGGACGACCGTAGTGCGCTGGGTTCTGAAGCGCAACCGGAGGGCAATAAGGCAGCGAAGAGGAAGCGAGACGATGATGCAATTTTGCAGAAGATCATCAAGACACAGGAAGAATTGGTCAAGATATCAAAGGAGCGATCGGCATCTGTTCAAAAAGCTTTGGAGGAGGCGTTGGAGGCAAAAAAGGTAGAGGCAGACGATCGCATCATGGCGATGGATCTCACTGGGATGGATGATGAAGCTAAATTGTACTGGCAAAAGAAACAGCGTGCAATTTTGGATTGACCGGAGTAGTAGTAGTTCTCTTGTTTTGTAGATTTTTAGTAGCTCGCTGTCCTCACTCTTGCCCTCTTTCTGCACAATCTTTCTTCTACACACCCTCTACTGTCTTCCTTTCAAGTCTCTTGCAATCCAAACACACGAGATGTGATTCTTTTTTCCATAACAATGCCATTTTTTGCTAATAACAATGCGGTTCTTTTTTCTCATAACGATGTGATGTTTTTTTCTCAGAACAATGTGATCCTTCTTTCTAAGAACAATGTGATTATTTTTTCTCAGAATGAAAATTGAAATAACAGATATTATTGCAACCTAGTGATAAGTTTGAGAGAAAGCAATTTGAGAAGGTTGAGAGAAAACAAGATTGATTATGTATAAGATAGAAGATAAAGAAGATAAAAATGAGAGAAGCAACATTGAAAATAAATGATTTAAAAATTAAGTCTCCGTTTCCTCCGATTCCATATCATCGCGACCTAACTTGATCCAGAGGTGTTCAACGAGGTCTGTCTTCAATCGATTATGAATGTGAATGTCTCGGATTCCGTGATAACGCAAGAGAAACGAGTCGAAGTCGGCATTAGGTGAGATATCTCGTGTGATTGTTGATTGAGTGCGAGCATTTTGATCGTAGTCAAAATCTTCTTCAAATTCTGAACCAGCCTCATCCTCCACCATCATGTTGTGGAGAATGATCACCGTCTTCATAATGGTACATAGATCCGGGTATTTCCATAAGCGGCCGGGGAAGCGGATAATAGCATAGCGTGCTTGTAACACACCAAACGCACGATCAACGTCTTTTCGATAAGCTTCCTGCATCTTTGCATAGTGTCTATTTTTTTTCCCTTGTGGATTTGAAATTGATTGCATGAGAGTTGCATATTTTGGATAAATACTATTGGTGAGATAGTAGCCGATGTTGTATGTGTTGCCATTCACCGTATACTTGAATGATGGGTTTACTCCATCTTGACATTGCTGAAAAATCAGTGATCGATCCAGGACATTGATATCGTTTAGAGTTCCAAGGAGGCCAAAAAACGCGTGCCAGATCCAGAGATTGTGGGTCGCAACTGCTTCAAGAATTACTGTTGGCTCCTTTTCCTTGCCGCTGTACTGACCGTGGTCTGCAACGGGGCAATTCTTCCAGCCCCAATGCATACAGTCCAGCGAGCCCATCATACCTGGAAATCCTCGCTTTTCAGAGACCGCAAGAATCTTCGCAATATCATCATCGTTTGGGCTTCAAAGGTATTCCTCAGTGTAGATTTTGAACAAAGCAGAGCAGAAGTGTTTCAGACTTTCCAGCGCATTACTTTCACCTGTGATGGAACAGAAGAAGCATGAGTGAATAGTCAGAGGAAGTGTCAGTGAAAAAAAGTCAGAGAAACAATATTTGAAAACAGTTAAAATACTGACTGATTCTCAGGTATTTGTTGATGAAATCAGCGCTGCATCCATAAGCGAGCAATCTAAATGCCGCTGTAACTTTCTGTAATGGTGAAAACCCCAATAGACCGGTGTGGTAAGCCACTCCTGAAAATTCAAAGTTATCAAGAGCACAAATCACAGAAGAATCACACAATCAAGACACCCCAGAAAGCTCCCCAGACCCCCAAAACCAATCATGAATCCCCTCAGGCACAATTCACATGGATAATATAATTTCCCCCTCCATCCCAACAGAAACTCCACACCCTGAAACTCATCCCCCTCCAAACATATTCCATTCTTCTTTCTCCTTGTGTCTCACACTAGTAACAATCCCCTTGCCCATGAAACTGTTATCTCCTCCTATTTTCTTCCATGGAATATTCTGCCCCTTATTTGTTTCACACTAGTAACCTTGGGAGCATTTTCCCACTGCTTGTTTCCCCTGTTTTCTCTGGATAAATATTTTCCCTTGTTTCATGCTCTCATAGAATGTTCCATTTATCTTCCAACCACAAGCTGGCCACTCCCCAGAATTTTTTATATAAGGAGCTTTGTTTTTCCTCTTCATTTGTTCCTCATCAGATCCTGCCCCAGCAATCCAGATAACTGATCACCCATTATTAGCCAGGTATTTGCCCATCAACATTTGGGATACCTTGATTTGTGAACAAGTATATTTAGACTAGTAAACATAAGACATATTAGACATACCATCCTCAAGAAATCTCCAAAGCCACACCTTTCCTTAAGAGTCCATACTCTTATATTTTCTTGTTATCAGAGAGGCAGCCCAATAAAGCACTCATCCCTCTCAAGCTCTATTCATCCCAAGAGTAGTTCCACAAGTGGTGTCCCAACAGTGGCCTTTAAGATCTTTGGTTTTTAGTCACTACCACTTACAAATTACTAGATTACATATAGACATACACAGATTAGCTAGTTATTACCCAACTCAGTAGAAATAGAAATAACATACCTTATCTATCATTACTACCCACTCCAACTTCACCATGAACAACCCACCAAGAAGAAGCTCTTTTTCTGGACCTCTTCCAAAAGTCAACATGGCCAACCTAGTTATCCCAGCCTGGAGAGGCCAAATCCCACCTACTCAATTACCTCCTGTTCATTACTACAATTCTGGACCAAACTTCTACCAACCACCTGCCCATAATCCAGCCTTTAACCCTGGACCAATGAGAAATCCCCAACCCTCTGAAAGTGATGACCTGGACCCCTTGGAAATTCAAGAACCTCTGTACCCCCAAGGAACACCCAGTCAGCAAACAGGACCAGCACCACCAGTAAGAAACACTGAAACCCAACCCACTCACCCTCTGGCACCCAAGAAACCTACCCCCATCCACTTCCTGGAAAGAGAACCAGAAATGCCCAAATACTCTGGAGGAAGAAAAACCATCAAGATCAAACCCCTGGATAAGGACCTCTGTTTTAATGGTACCAATATGCCCATAGAAAAATTCATCAAGAGATATGAGGCTGCTGGTGAAACAGATGGAGCAAACCCCCAGGATTTGGCCAGACAAATTATCCCCTTTATCAAAGGATTGGACCTAAAGGATGAAGTAGAGGAGATGTCAGGATATGAAGACTCTAATTGGGAACAACTGAAGAAACAACTACTCAACAGATTTGGATCCTCCCTTCCCCTAGTCAAATACACCAGGCATGACCTTAAGCACCTGGTAAATTCTGCCATCAAAGGAGGAGGAATCAAGACCCTGGAGCACTTTAAAATCTTTAGGACCAAATTTGAAGCCATCACTCACTACTTGGTCAGAATGGGATACAGTTCCAACTTGGAAGAATCCAGAGAATGTTTGTTGGAATCCCTCAGCCCAGACTTGGAATCCTCAGTAACCAAGGAGCTCATCAGAGACAATATGATTTTGGCCTCCAAGGATGGTGGGGACATTCTGCCAGATACTGAAACCCTGATCAGTTATATCCACAGAGAAATTCAGTCTGCATCTGTCATGGAAAGAAGAAAAATCTGGAGAGGAATAGAGCAAAACAAT